CACCTGCTGGAAAACGGGTCCAGCGTCCCATGTACAGAAAAGAAAATGTCTGAGAAAAATGAGGATAGTGGCTGTGGGGGCCTGCCAGCATTGAATGCCCTGCAACCCAGCGGATTGACTGAGCAGGCCTGTGTAATGTCCAGTGGTGTAGTCCTTTGTGGGCTTGGAGAACTGCCATTGCCTTCTGTATCTCTTTACCTTCCAAAGAAGGGCGCCGGATAAGCTGTTGAGGACTGATACTCTTTAGAAAAACTGCTCACCCCAGACCCTACCCAACGTCACAGATTGCTCAGGATACTCAGGCTACCAGTACTGACTACCTCTACTGAACATATAGAAGAAAGGACATCTACCCCATGCTCAAAGACTGACAGAGAGAGTCAGATGGAATGTGATGATAACAAAATGTAAAAGGAATGACAGCCAATGGCATCCAGGCGATGTATATTTCATGGTTACGCCAAAACCATAACAAAAACTTGAGAAAAGTATGATATCCATGACCGCACGTGGACTACCAGCCGAGCTGCCTGGGTCACCTTGGTTGCCTGGCTGGCCCGACCGTGCAAGGGTCAGGAAAGGTATCAGGGGCCTTAGCTCAGTTGGTACCTGGGTCACCTTTTTTTTTTTAACAGACTCAAGTTTGAATCTAGATGCAGTAAGATAAACAAATTAACATACCTGATGATACTTCTGCATTACTTAGGGCTGGTCAGTTCAATGATGATCTAGTATCTGCGGTAGGAACCGGTGTGGGCCACCGGAGTTCCTACTGATATTCGGGTAGAACTGTCTAGTGGCTATATATAAGGCTTAGACCTTGGGGTAAGGGTAGGGGTATAGGTCGCTCAGGCCAGTCCGAGTTCCGCCTGGCCTCGTTCTCTCTTTGATATGATGCTGCCTATACATCTCGATACGTTGATTCACAGAGCACACACAGCCTTCGGTCATATACATAGCTTGCGAATTATACATGGCCTGCGGGCTACATACACACACATAGTGCTGTCTGTACATCTTCATACATAGATACACGAATCATACACAGCCTTCGGGTATACACACACATTGCGAACTACACAACTATCAGACTGGGGGGGTCTAGTCACTGGGTGGGGTCTAGTATCTGTGGTAGGGACAGGTATGGGCCACCGGAGTTCCTACTGATATTCGGGTAGAACTGTCTAGTGGCTATATATGAGGCTTAGACCCTGGGGTAAGGGTAGGGGTATAAGTCGCTCAGCCGAGTTCTGCCTGGCCTTGGGTAAGCTAGGGGAAGGACGGTAAGACTGCTTCAATGGGTGCTACCCTGTCTGAAACCTAGGGCCCAGAGTCTCTTGGGGCCTGTAGTAGATTGTCTGGGCCTGGCGTCCGAAGTTCCCGTTCGACAAGGCTCGTCCGCTTCTGCTTCCACCAGGGCTGGGCAACCTATCAGCCTTGGTGCCTATCCCTGCTGTTCGGTCCAAGTTAACTGCCCATTGGTAGGGTAATGGTCCTGAGTGCTGGTCACACTGAGGTAGGATAGTGAGATAGGGGGTGCGCTAGGAGTATTGACGTGAGGATGGGATGGGAGGTGGTCTCATATTCCAGGACACCCACGGCCTACTGCTCCAGGTGATCACTGTGTGCTCAGTGACTGGCCTCTACAACACCATGGACTCAAAAAAAAAAAAAAAAAGATATCTCAAGGCTGTCTCCCTTTTTTACTTTAAAAAGGACAAAGAGGGAAAAACAAAAGGGAAAATTTGTCTGGCGCCCCTGTAATTTCCATTATTTTGCGTTGCGCCCCTCCCATGGCCGGTTTACCCTGTCGCAGCCCTCTGACCACGATTCAAATTTCCCATAAACCCCGGTGTCGGTTGGGCCTGAAATATTTTTGTTATGCGCCTACCAGTACCCGTTCCAAATTTGCAGTATGCCCCTACCGGATAGCTGTTGAGTACCAGCAGAAAAAACATTCCATATCACCCTACCGGTAGGGTGCATCTTTTTAGTGCACCTCTATGGCTACGTGCATGGCAGCCACTTCATTTCTCTCTCTCTCTCTCTCTCTCTCTCTCTCTCTCTCTCTCTCTCTCTCTCTCTCTCTCT